CGTGATTTTCTAGGCACACCTGCCCAACAGGTCTGATATTCTGCTTCAAAGATAAGCAGGACTCTGATGCAGCTAAAGAGGGCCACCTAGTGACCTACCCAGTAGCAGTGGGTATATTAAGCCTTTTTTTAATGACAAAGGGAACCATCACAAGGTTGATCAATTCTTCACTTCTGCTGTCTGTTGTGGGAAATAATTGAGGCAAATTGGACAGACTATCTCCTCTAAAAACTCACTGCTCATAGCATGTCCCTCTGCTATCATAGAAGCCAACAATGTCTAAGGAATCCTGTGCTTGCCTACCATGTTTCAAGCTTTGGGCTGTTTAATGAATCCTACAGCAAAGCCCTTAGAAAATGAATGGCAATACCTGTCCAAAACCTTCTGCATTTATATATTTTAATGCATGTTAATCAGGCTTCCTTCAGCAGACCTGCTTCCCTTTGCCTGAGAGCTTTCTCAGATTATGAGATCTGCCCTGCCGGTAGGCCAGAAATGCTGGCGAATTAATGCCACCTGGAAATAGTTCCCAGCCAATGGCTGATGGGAGGTGGTGAATCAATACCCCAGCTCCATCTGTTGGGACAATTCGAGTGCACATTCTACTCGGTCTCCCAGAGTTACCCAGCATGATTGAGCTCTAGTTGCCCACATGGTAACTTCCTTGATACCATGTAATCTGTTATCTTCCTTCCCTTCTCTGTCTCCTGTCCACTTTTCTATCAGTGCTTCTTGGCCTCACCTCCCAAATAAAATACTCACACTCAAATCCTTGTCCAAATCCTCATCTAAGGCCTTCATCTGGGGGAATCCAAATCAAGATAATTCCCTTGCTATGGAATCCTTCTGGAATTAAAACCCAAGTTTGTAGAATGGTAAAACCCGTAAATGACCTAAAACAATGCCTGGCACATAGGAAGAACACACTTAATGTTAGGTATTGTTGTTGTCTGTGTTAACCCCCTCAGCCTTATAGAGTTTGCGTAAAAGTAAAACATTACCTGATGGCCTTTTCAACTTCAGTTCTAGGAATGATGTCAGACACATTTTTAGGTGCAGTGACAAAGAAGGTAAGGAGATTCTTGGTTTGAAATCATTCACCCATACATCCTCCACCCTGTGGAGAAACAAAAGAAACATCTTCTCTGTGACACAGGTAAAGAGAATGAAGACTCCCCCTGCTGGTGAAAGGAGATTAGGGCGAGGATCGCAGGGTAGAGAGACATGGGGCAGGGTGAGTAATAGGAGAATATAAAAATTTAACACTGCCCAAATCACATGAAATCAACTACATAAAAGCTGGGATATCAAATCTTGGCGCAATTTGTTCTGCCTCCATAGAAAACCACTTTTTTTTTGAGACAGATACTCACTTTGCTGCTCGGGCATAAAGGCGGTGGCGTCAGCCTAGCTCACAGCAACCTCAAACTCCTGGGCTCAAGCGATCCCCTGCCTCAGCCTCCCGAGTAGAGAGAGAGAGAGAGAGAGAGAGAGAGAGAGAGAGAGAATATCTATTTTCTTTCCACCCATCTGTTAGACACCTGTCAATTATGTTTTTCTTATTGTTCCTTTTTGAAGTGAAGATCTCATGTGTATCATGCAGTCCCCCATCCCTAGGGTTAAAACAGTACCATTCTTCTGTCAAGATTCTCTCTGTTAACATCAATCTTACTTGGGAGGAAGGAGGCAGCACCTATGATAACTGTTTCTAGCGTTGAAATATTAATGAAGCCATGCCTACAACCATCCCACGATCTCAAAAGACAAATGTATTTCACTTTATTCCAAATACATTGGTTTCCCTACCTTGTTTTCCTGACTGGATTAATCTTTTGATTCCTTGTAGTTTATTTTAAAGGTACATGGAATCAGACCCTTAAAGTGATTTATTAATGCATTAATTGTTCCTTTAGTCATTCAATAAATATAAATGAAGTCTTTCCTTAATGTTAGGCACTGTGATTGATGTTGGAACTATAGAGATGACCAAGACACAGCCCCACTCTTTAGGAGCTCCAGTCTCCAGGGCAAGAAGAAGGTGTAGGTGAAAACAATAAAACAGGGAGAGAAGTGGCAGAGGAAGCACATCTAGACATAGCTATTTTCCAATGGTATATTCTGGCTGAATTAAAAAAAACTTAAAAGATAACCACATAATGGGCTTTCTGATTTTTTATACTGTTTCTATTTCACCCAACACCCAATTCCAATATAAATACCACTGACTGATGAAACTGCACCAGTTGCACCCAACTCTACCTTCTCATGATGGGTAACCCACAGCTAATGTATCTTTTTCTTTTCTTCCCAAAGGCGAGAGATAGTTGGGGTGGTGGAACCTGTGCCCCATGATGAAACATACTGTGACCCCGCGTCTCTGTTCCATGTTTCTAATGATTATTCATTCATCCGGTAAATGAGTTTTCTTCTATTTAACTTCTAGGGTTTGTGGACAGCTGTGCTAATAATAAATAGAGATCAACAAGGTGATAATTATAATGTTTCTTTTTATCTTCACCTCCAAGCTCAGTACAGATGCTCCTTGACTTATGATGGGGTTACATCCTAATAACTCCATTATAAGTTGAAAATATCTTGAGTCAAGAATGCATTTAATACACCTAACCTATTGAACATCATAGCTCAGCCTAGCCTACTTCAAATGTGCTCTGAACACTTACATTAGCTTACAATTGGGCAACATCATCTAATACAAAGACATTTTATAATGTCTCGTATAATTTATTAAACACTGTACTGAAAGTGAAAAATGGAATGGTTGTATGGGTACTCACCACTAATGTACACAGCTGAAAGCAACATTGTAAAGTCAAAAACCAAACCAAACCATAGTAAGTCAGGGACTGTCTGTATAGATGATCAATTTCAATATAGTTTAACCCAACATGATTTATTGGGTTAAATAAAACTTGTGTGTGGTCCTTCTCCCATCATCAAGGATTTAATGGTATCATTGGAAGAAATAAAAGTATTTTTGTCTTCTCTTTACTGGCAGAATTTATCATGTAACAGAAAGAGAATTTTTTTTTATTTCAGCATATTATGGGGGTACAAATTCAGAAAGAGAATTTTTAACCTGATATCCAGAAACATATGTTCTCTACCTATTAGTTCCAGACCTTGAACAGGGAGAGAAATGGCAGAGGAGGCACAGCTAGAGAAGGCTAGGGGAGATGGAGGGGTTAACTGTGCTGCAAGGTGGGTAGTTCAGTTCATTTCTAGAAAATGAGGTTTGACCAGTATCCCTTTGATTACTTGGGCCCAGGAATTTAAATATATCCCCCAATCTATGACTCTGATACTGTAACTAAACCTGAGGCTGCTTTTTTTTTTTTTTGTCTCTTGTACAGATATTACACAAGGACCATTTATCAATTCCAGTTTCAGGAAGCCCTTTGTCGAGCAGCTAAACATGAAGGCCCCTTGCACAGATGTGACATCTCAAATTCCACCGAAGCTGGGCAGAAGCTGCTGTAAGAAATGCCTCAAAACCTTGAACCTCTCCCAGTACCTAATAATAGTCATTTCCATGCCTAGGTTTGAATTTGGTTTCTTTGTTCCAGAAAGAAAAATTTGGGCTCCAAAATATCCTCATCTACAAAGTAAATGTTTAATTTGTGTCCAGGCAGGAACCTATACCATGCGGTGGCTGGACAGGACACTTCCTCTTTCCATGTCATAGCTACAGAGCTCCCTTTGTAGTCATTGGAAAGAAAGAGAGATGGAGGGATGAATACATCATTAACATGCCTTATTTTCTTATCTGCCAGGAGCAAATTAGTTAAGTCAAAGAGAAGAGACCAGAGATCATAGATATAAATATATGTACATCTGGAATCCCTCAAAAGGCCCCACATCCCTTTTTTTTATGTAGCAATATGCTGAGACTTGGAAAATCAGAACCCTGGACCTTAGCATTGGAAAATGTAGTAGGAGCAAGGAATATGAATGTCACACCACTGCTCAACTACTTTGAGCCCTTGTTTACCTGGCTGAAAGATCAGAACAGGAATTCTTTTGTGGGCTGGAACACCAACTGGAGTCCTTGTGAGTACAATAAGTTGACATGTTTTGCATCTGTTCCCCATCTGTTTCCCTTAGTTTCCTTTGGTCCCAGTCTCCTGAGGGCTGTGACACAGCTGAGTAGGTTTTCCCTCTACATATAACCTGCTTCTGACTCCGCTATGGTGGCAGCTGCCATTGATATCTTGTTATTGGTCAGTTTTAGACCTTTGCTTCTGCCTACTCTTCTGCTTCCATTTCTCATTCTCCCAGTAAAGCTTTATCCTGATTTTTAGTAAAGCACTTATCAATGTTTATTTACATCATTATGCCTGCAGAGCCAAGTAATATACTATTCTGTGTCCTTTCTTAAGTGTTTGTCCCCAAATTTCTACTTGCCTCAATTTTTTGGCATACGAAACTTGCTATCTACGTTGCATTTGTTTTTTCCAAACAACTCCAACATGTCTATTCTTTCCAGCCACATTTTTTCCCTAGAGACTTCCCTCTTGGAGTCTAACAGCCTCCTGTCTCAATCTGGATCACAGTTTTCATTCTGAGCAATTCCTTTGCTGTTCTCCTGGGTTGAATCCACTGCTTCCTGGATTCCTCATCTTCTTTCTTGGATTACCTGTTGTTTTTCTGGAGCACATGGGGTAGGAGGATCAACTGTTTTCCAAAGTGGTTTTAACCACACTCTGACTTCCATCTCCCTTGTTTTCAGCCCAGTATTCTCTTCCACTCTCCGCTGTACAGGAATCTCAAACCTATCTTTGATTCTCTGGCTCTTTTTTGATCTGTTTGTACACATTTGGCCATGGCTTCCTGTCCCTGAGAAAGCAATTACCCCTCTCCCATCATTTCTCATTTTCCAAAAGTGTGTTTATACCTTTAAAAAATATTCCTTTACTATAACTTTAGTAGGATCTTGGGAGGAGAAGCAAATAAACACATGTGATCAGTCTGCCATCTGTAACTAGTAGTCTGTGATTTCTCTTTAATCAGATGCTGACGAAAGCATCAAAGTGAGGATAAGCCTAAAATCAGCTCTTGGAACTAACGCCGTGAGTGTATTTTCATTATTTTTTCAGCTCACTATCTTTGCTTGATTAGAACACAATAAGCCTATTCCAGTGTGGTCTAAAAGAGTAGAGGCCACATGGTTTTCTTCACAACTAGGAGCCCCAAATTCTGGCCTTCAGCTTTTGGGTTTCTTGAGTAACTAATTTCTTATTGGATAAAGTATACCTACTTTTTACGTATTACCTTGAAGGTGTTATGAAGATCAATGAGAAAACATCTGTACCAATCCTTAAATATGAAATAATAATCATTCCAATCCACTCTTGTTACCATTATTTGTATTCAAGGAAGAAGACATGGTTATATTTTGAGAGGTTGTGTTTAGAAGCAGCATGGTTAGACTTTTTTGTTTTGTTTCAATCATCTATACCTTGGCTTTACTCAGAGTCTGGCCCATGGACTGCCAGCATTCAAATCACCTGGACTCTTGTTAAAAAATGCAGAATCTCAGGCTCCTGCCCTGTAGCCACTTATTCAGAATCCACATTTTAACAAGCCTCCAGGTGACTTATATACATGGCAAAGACTGGGAAGCTCTGATTTAGGACACTGCTTCTCAAACTTGGCTGCAAATTGGAGTCACATGAAAAGTTTTAAAAATTAACTGCCTGGGTTCCACCTCCAGAAATTCTAATTTAATTGCTCTGGGGTATGGCGTCAGTCGTTGGGCATCAGGAATTTTAAAAGCTCCCCAATGATTCTAATTACAGCAAAGTTTGAGAACTACCAATGTAGAGATGCATTTGGGGGTAACAAAATGTTTTATAGAAAATCATATTACACGTTCATGTGAATTACTTTAATAACTATTGCTTTCCCCTGGACACCTGTTTCTGGTGATCCAGAAGTAGTAGCTTTGATTAGGAAAGAAAGGACAAGATAGTCTCAGATAGATGGGGATGGAAGGCCTGAGTGGGGCCATGGCACCTTGAAGGCTTTTCAGGGGCTGCAGAAAATTGGTGTCTACATTGAATAAGTCCCAAGATTGTGTTTATATCCCCTTACTTTCCCTGAGAAGTTAAATATTGTCCAAGACTCAACAATACTTTTAGTATAATTTTCATAGATAAAACATCAAAACATACACAACACAGTAGGAGCAAAAAAAAAAAAATGAACATTTAAGAAAGAAAAAATAAAAATGGAAGTGCATTGGTTCCCAAACTCTGAGAGTTCAAGTTCTTATTTCTTAATAATCATTGAGTATCTGTGGAATTATTTCTCTTTTGGTGATATGTTTATTAGCTCTTCCTTGGCCTAATAAACTTTAATTACTCCTGGCAAATCAGGATCCTTTTCAATTATCTTTTTTTTCTTGACATTTGTCCTCATGTTCTCTTTCCATGCAGTGAGGGATTCATAAATAAATAGTCTTCAGAGGGTTTGATGGTGGAACGTTCTGAGGCCAATTCACTAAAAAAAGTCTGCTTTGACGAGACCAGAACTGTACTTTTAGTGCATTCACACATCAGGGCCAGAACATCTGCCCCATTCAAGCTATTTTATGGTGAAATCCAACTGGATAGTGCTGGCATTATTTTGAGAACTCAGCCCTTAAAATTTTTTTTAAATATAGAGATAGTGACAGTATTAATATCATTATCACTATTAATGCAACTCCCTCCTCCAAACCTGGGAGAAACCAAGCTGAAGTGAATGCAGCATTGTGTGTGTGTGTGTGTGAAATTTTATGACTTTTTTCCTAAAAGGGAAAGGAGAAACAGAAACCCTCTGCCATTCATTGATCTCTGCTGCCAGCTACTGGAGGAAAGCATGAATACTTTCTTCTCTCTTTTAAGGAGTTTTTTTTTTTTTTATTTCGGCATATTATGGGGGTACAGATTTTAAGGTTTCAATAAATGCCCTTTCACCCCCTCCCCCCACAAGTCTGAGTTTCCAGCATGACCATCCCCCAGATGGTGCACATCTCACTCATTATGTATGTATATGCCCACCCCCTCCCACCTGCCCAATACCCTATTACTGTAGTACCTATGTGTCCACTTAGGTGCTGCTCAGTTAATACCAGTTTGCTGGTGAGTATAATGTGGGTGCTTTTAAGACGCATCTTGTTTACGCGTTGGAAAACAAGAACAACAGATTATCTTGCTGTTGACAAGTTTACTTTACCCTTGAACTTCAAGTTTCTTTATTTTACACTTATAGCATACATATCTAAAAACTGCCACTAGAAAAATAACATAAGTCAGTTGCTGGGAGAATATATCTGAGTGCTGTGGAGATCAGGGACTTTTTGGGGGGAGGGGGAATGGGCAATTTATTGAAAACCATTATAAAATCTGTTACCCATAATATCGCCAAATAGAAAAACAAACAAACAAAAAACAAAAACTCAGTTTGTCTTAATATGTACAGACATTTTAAGCAACACCACAAACTTTTGGGTTGACTCTCAGGGTGTTTTTTTTAGTTTACATGCAGACCAAAGTAAAAGGAACAGTGAACGCTAAAGGGTTCGCAAACCTACAACGGCGTCAGATTCGGCTCCGCACACAGCATGAGGCAGCCACCTGGGAGTTCGTTAGAGATGGCAAATTCTTGGGTCTCCAACTGCAGACTTTTCTGAATCAGCGCTCGCGGGAGGTGGGCGCCAGCACGCAGCGCTTTAACAAGTCCCCCAGCGGGAAATGCTGATGGCGCACTCAAGTTGAAGTTCACTGAGCTGTAATGAATGAGCGTGAAATCTTAGGAATATTAAGAAATAAGCTCTGAGGAGTATGAGGTTTAAAAAGTGTCCTATGATCCCTACTGGACGCAGTGCTCTTTTTGAATTTACAGTAAACACAATGGAATGACCAAAGAACTGTACTTGTTCCCGGTCATCTGTGGCATATGCATGAGGAAGGTATTTTTAGAAGCTAAAAGCCAGACGGTTCCTTTTGGGTGAGTTTGAATTTTGCTGGTTCTTGAGTTACTGCCAAACCGGCAGCCCTCCTTCTCTTGAGTTCTGAGAACATAGTGCTGCTTAAACTTCTTCTTCCACGTGAATTAGAAAACCACTCTGTCAAGCCTAAGTGGACAGATAGGGACGTAGAAACACCCCCCACCCTCTATCCGGGGTGTGCGAGGAGGGTGGAGGGGGGAAGGACCAGGGGATGCGGTATATCAACCACCAAACCAGTAAGATGTGCCAATGTTAGCCCGGGACGCGGTGGCTCACGCCTGTAATCCCTAGCTTCTCCTGGGGCCGAGCGGGCGGATTGCTCAAGGGTCAGGGAGTTCGAAAACCGCCTGAGCAAGATGCGAGACCCCCGTCTCTACCTAATAAATACGGAAGAAACGTAATTGGCCAACTGAATATAATATAATATTAATACCCCAAAAAATTAGCCGGCATGGTGGTGCATGGCTCGTAGTCCCAGCTACGTCGGAGGCTGAGACAGAAAGGATCGCTTGAGGCCAGGACGTTGAGGTTGCTGTGAGCTTACGGCTGATGCCATGGCGCTCACTCCTAGCCTGGGCAACAAAGCAAGACTCTGTCTCAAAAAAAAAAAAAAAAAAAGAGTTGCAATGTTTTAGGGGGGTGCCACGCTGAAGCTGCTTACTCTAGGGGGAGGGGCATGGGCAATATGACGTACCTTAACACTGTACCACATAATACGCTAAAAATTAAAATAAATAAAACCGTCCTAATAAGCTTTTAAACCTTCTTTGACATCCGGACTGTGGTGACTCCATGCAGGGATGATCATGGCTTGTTTGACTTGCAGTTTGCAAGAACACCATCCGTTATCAAACAGGCTCTTCTTCTCAAATGCTCTTCAACCCACCACTAGCCCTTGCAACAAGAACATGGCAGACTCTCTGCATTCATTGGGGGCTTTAATTCTAGTGTATATGGTGTTGTGTGTGTGTGACATATATGTGATATTATAAGTTCAGAATGTCCGCGCTGGGTGATAAGTGCTAGGGAGGAAAAAATAATGTCGAAAGAAAAAGGGCTGAGGAGTGCTGGGTATGTGTGTGTGTCTGTGTGTGTAGGCGTTTCATTTTAACCAAATGGTCCAGAAAGACCCTCGCTAATATTGAGCAAAATATGGGAGAGCAGGACGAGCGAGGTAGCAAGTGGCAGAACAATGGGGTCGCGCTTGTTTCCGTGGGGGAAACAGCCAGGTGCCAGACCCTGAGCGAAGGAATGTCATTGCCTAAAGAAGAGCAGGCAAGGAGGCCATGTGGCTGGACAGAGTGTGCGTACGAGAAGATGAGTATGATGTGGCCAGGGTGGAATTGGAGGTCAGGAGCACGGAGGAGGAGAAAGGTCTGTGGACTAGAGGCCATTCTAAAGGACTTGCTTTTCTGAGAGGATGAGGCCTGTGACTGTTCACCAATGATCCCTGGCCTTCAAGTATTTTACTAAAAAAGGTCAGCTCTGGCCAGCTAATGAGATAAAGCAGGCCAGTCTTGTCACATCATATACCGTCTAAACGCCACACATTACCATTCACCGAACTGCTGGGTGCAATATGATATTTTCTGCGCTGCGTGGGCAGATTGGGGGTGTGAACAACACCATCTCTGTCCTGGTAACTGAGCCACCTCTGCCCAGCCAGGTTGCTTTATCAATAATTCTGCGCCACCCAGTGATTCCTTGCTCTTCTCCCTGCCTATCACTTGCAAATTTTCCCATCATGCTGAAAAAAATGTGGGGTTTTAAGAACAGGCGCGGTGGGCCGCATGCCCGTAATCACTAACACTTTGGAGGGCTCGACGCGCGGAGAGGATTGCTTGAGGTGCAGGAGTTTGAGACCAACCTGGAGCAACGAGTGAGACGCCGTCTCTAACTAAAAACAGAAAAAATTACGCGCGGGCATGGTGGCGCATGCCTGTAGCGCGCAGCTACTCGCGGGAGGCTGAGGCGGAAGGAAGGATCGCCTCGGAGAAGCCCATGGAGTTGAGGTTGGCTGTGCAGCTAGGCTGACGCCACCGCCTTTATGCCCGAGCAGCAAAGTGAGATCCTGTCTCAAAAAAAAAAGTGGGTTTTCTATGGAGGCAGAACAAATTGCGCCAAGATTTGATATCCCAGCTTTTATGTAGTTGATTTCATGTGATTTGGGCAGTGTTAAATTTTTATATTCTCCTATTACTCACCCTGCCCCATGTCTCTCTACCCTGCGATCCTCGCCCTAATCTCCTTTTCACCAGCAGGGGGAGTCTTCATTCTCTTTACCTGTGTCACAGAGAAGATGTTTCTTTTGTTTCTCCACAGGGTGGAGGATGTATGGGTGAATGATTTCAAACCAAGAATCTCCTTTACCTTCTTTGTCACTGCACCTAAAAATGTGTCTGACATCATTCCTAGAACTGAAGTTGAAAAGGCCATCAGGTAATGTTTTACTTTTACGCAAACTCTATAAGGCTGAGGGGGGTTAACACAGACAACAACAATAGCTAACATTAAGTGTGTTCTTCCTATGTGCCAGGCATTGTTTTAGGTCATTTACGGGTTTTACCTCATTCTACAAACTTGGGTTTTAATTCCAGAAGGATTCCATAGCAAGGGAATTATCTTGATTTGGATTCCCCCAGATGAAGGCCTTTAGATGAGGATTTGGACAAGGATTTGAGTGTGAGTAGTTTATTTGGGAGGTGAGGCCAAGAAGCACTGATAGAGAAATGTGGACAGGAGACAGAGAAGGGAAGGAAGATAACAGATTACATGGTATCAAGGAAGTTACCATGTGGGCAACTAGAGCTCAATCATGCTGGGTAACTCTGGGAGACCGAGTAGAATGTGCACTCGAATTGTCCCAACAGATGGAGCTGGGGTATTGATTCACCACCTCCCATCAGCCATTGGCTGGGAACTATTTCCAGGTGGCATTAATTCGCCAGCATTTCTGGCCTACCGGCAGGGCAGATCTCATAATCTGAGAAAGCTCTCAGGCAAAGGGAAGCAGGTGCTGGCTGAAGGAAGCCTGATTAACATGCATTAAAAATACTAAATGCAGAAGGGGTTTGGACAGGTATTGCCATCATTTTCTAAGGGACTTTGCTGTAGGATTCATTAAACAGCCCAAAGCTTGAAACATGGTAGGCAAGCACAGGATTCCTTAGACATTGGTTGGCTTCTATGATAGCAGAGGGACATGCTATGAGCAGTGAGTGTTTAGAGGAGATAGTCTGTCCAATTTGCCTCAATTATTTCCCACAACAGACAGCAGAAGTGAAGAATTGATCAACCTTGTGATGGTTCCCTTTGTCATTAAAAAAAGGCTTAATATACCCACTGCTACTGGGTAGGTCACTAGGTGGCCCTCTTTAGCTGCATCAGAGTCCTGCTTATCTTTGGAAGCAGATATAAGACCTGTTGGGCAGGGTGTGCCTAGAAAATCTGGCTGGGTTGGGGTTTATGACCCAACCGTGCCCAGAGACTCATTCACTGCCTCCAAAAGACTTGTGTCTGTCTTGGGGAAAAGTACCAGCTGAGATCTTCACGAAAGAGCTCAGCCCTCCTGGATACCCAGCTGCAAGCTGCAGGGGACCTCAAACTTTCTTTCCAGGATGACTCTTTTCAGATCTTTTTAGACTAGGGTGCCAGGGGTTACATGGCTAACTCTGCTTTGACTTCTCTCCTTCTTTGGTGGAGTCTGACCCTCTGACCTAGGCTACACCCAAGGGTAGGAGGATGAGATGCCAGACACTTTGGTCTTCAATCTAGAATGTTCTCCATTTCACCATTTTTTAGAAAAGACAATCTTCATCCTTTTGTTTCCATAAATTTCAGCGCTGGAGAAGTTGGCAAAGGTCCCTTTCCTGTGTTTCTCTCCAGTGCTGCCTCCAAATGCCAACATCTTTTATTTGGAAAATACTGCCTCAGAGAATTGGCTATAGGACCTGATTTGTTTGTAGAAAAGGTATAGCCAATTATCCTTTCCCATTATTTGATATAAAGTCATTGTAGATATACTCTGGCAGAAGGGAAATTCTTGCCAAATATGCTAACTTTGCCCTTAAAACACAAGTCACAAATGAAAAAAATGCCAACCATTCACACATTTCTACACTTGCAACTCAGTTTTCCCATGAAGCTGTTGACAAATCTAATCTAGGTTGCAAGATATGAAAGGTGCATAGTTGTCAACAACTCATAGCTTTCAATGGACCTGAGAATCTCCTTTGCTTTTATTATAATTTTAGGTATACATTCTTCTGATAAGCCCTATCAGAAGCCTTTTGGGGGCAATGATGTAAGGAGTAAATAACTACATGCAATTTTCTTTTGCCAAGTGTCCCCTTTACTGTGTTTTGCTTTTGCAAACAGTATGTCTCGGAGCCGTATCAATGATGTTTTTGGCCTGGATGACAATACCCTAGAGTTTCTGGGGATTCAGCCAACACTCAGCCCTCCTTACGAGTCGCCTATCAGCATATGGCTGATTGCTTTTGGAATCGTGATGGGACTGGTAGTGGTTGCCACTGTTGTCCTGATCTTCACTGGGATCAGAAATCGAAAGAAGTAAGTGACCTTTCCTAGATTTCTCTCTCCTAAAACAGAAAGGTTTAGGGAACACTAACTAGAAAATTTGCAGTAAGTGGTAGGTTGTATAGGCCAATTATTTAGTTGGACAATTTTGCACTTAAATATCCTGATGCATCCCCTAGAAATTTACCAGGTGTCTTCAGCACTTGACCTTCTTAGCAAGGCTACATAGTAGATGTCCAGCCTAGGGTTTCTTAGCATGCCATAATAAACTCCATCCTAGCCACAATGTCAGTTCCCTACTGCAAAGAGGCACTGCAAAGTCAGTAGGGATGGGCTCAGGGCATTGTCCACATTGCTGAATCCTCCTTAGTCTAGAAGTGACCCTAGAGATTGGTGATGGGTTTGAACTGTGAAATCATTCAAGAATGAGCTCTGAGATTTGCATCAAATTGCTGCTCTTTAATCACCTTCATTTCTCTCCAGATAGTTCAGATTCCATATCATCTCCTTAGTTCATGGTCAGGCAAAGTTCATTGAGGATTTAAATTACTAGAGACCTGATTTCTAGTCTTGCTTTGCCACTATTAACAGATGTTTTGTTTTTTTCTGACCTTGAGAAATAATTGACTTTTTTTGGTTTATGAAATAAAGGTTAATAATATTTTATAGCACCTAACAAAACTCTATACACATCTCAGGTTGTTTAAACATATTCTTGATTGATACTCTATTTGTTCTAGTCTATTTTGCTCAATTTTCTTCATTACAGAAATTTTTAGTTCCCCAAAATAGCTTCATTTGAAAAATTAGGCATTGAATAGATAATATGTTCATATGGTTAAAATAAAAAATATATAAAAGGGTACATAAAGAGTTTCCCTGTCACCTTTTGCCTTCAAGTTCCCTTCACAAAGCCAATCAAAATGATCAGTTTCTTGGAGATATGTGATATATGTCCCTTTTCAGTATACAAATTTTACAAGACTATATGTAATGTTCTATATATTCTTTTATTTTCCACTTAATGTGTTTTATAGAACATTACATATTGTTGCATGAAAAGCTTTCCCTCTTTTTTTCTAGCAATATAGTTTCCCATTTTATGGATGAATCATAATTTTGTTAACCAGTCCTCTATTGATGAACTTTTATGTCGTTTCCAAATGTTTGTGTTTGTAAAAACGTTGCAATGGTTTAATATAGGTAATTTCCTGTATGTGCCAACATATCTATAAGATAAATCCTAGCAGTGGGAAAGCTGAGTCAAAGCATATGTGCATTGCTAATTTTGATAAAGATTGCCAAATTGCTCTCAATTGAAGCTGTGCCAATTTGTACTCACATCAACAATTTATGAAACTTCCTATTCTCTCTATACCAGCCTCCTTAACACAGGTTGCCATCAAGCATTTTGATCTTCATCAACCTGGGGTTGGTGGAAAGTATCCTTCTAACATCACTATATTAAGGTGACTCCATTTTATTTAACAGGAAAAGTGAAGAAAGAAGTGAAGAAAATCCTTATGCCTCCATGGATATTAATAGAGGAGAACATAATCCAGGATTCCAAAACAGTGATGATACTCAGACTTCCTTTTAGAAAAATCTATCTTTTTCCTTCTGAGGTGATTTTATTATGTGCAAATGTTAATTTCATAGCACAGAAATATGAGATTATAAAGATGTCATTAGATATCAAAACTATGGCTCTGTTAGGAAAAGTTGTACAAAAACAACATGGCTGAGGAGAAGGCACCTTTATTCACACTGTTTTCAGTATTTATTTCTGTTTTAGGACTTAGCTGCTCTTCTGTTTCCTAATAGGGATGTTTATATTAGAGAATAAAGTATGTCTTTGGCCTCACAGTCTGTTCAGGGATAATGTAAATGTAAATGTCTGTTGAGTTACTGGGGCTGATAAAAAAAGAGGGTATGTCATGGGAACAAGCATTGGACCTTGTATGGAATCTGGATGACTCACTTGTAAGGACAGTGCCTGGGAACTTGGGGTGGAGGGGTGCTGGAGAGATTGAGTATAGTTTACACTGTTCACTTTAATCCAAGTATTAAGGATGAGATACTTTCTTCACATTAATTTAATCCAAACACCATAGTGACTTGCCCACAGTCATGTTTGGAGTGGACCATGCTTTCTTTCTTCAGGGTGACAGGTCTAAAGAAGAGAAAAGAATTTAGAGAGCAGGTAGAGGACATTGTTTTTTTCACTTTCAACCTGCTTGATTAACATCTCCCTGATAACGTGAAAATAGTACCAGGGGTCTCCATGAACTCCCAGAGCATGTCTGATAGAAACTTGCTTCCATTGTTCTTTAATGGTGGAGTGAGTGGAAATTCCAACTGGACATTTTACCCTCTGGAGTGGGAACCCAGTCTCTTAAATCTTTTGTATTCGCCCACAGTGTCTAAATAGTACTGAGTGCAAAGTAGACATTCAATGAATGCTAGATTGACACATTCCTGTGGTTTTATGTATACTTATGTGCTGGGGCTTCTGTCCATTCGGTCTGCTTTTCACGTCTATGGACAAAGTTGTCGTCTGAGTGTCTGGGACCCTTGACCTCCTGAATGTCTTGGGATGTATCACAAATTCTCAGATTGTGTTATTGTACAAAGCAATTGTAAAATCAATCCAAAAAATGTTGTGTTCAGGAACCAAACCTGGTATTGCATTTGTATTTCTCAGAGTCCCTAGCCCAGTTCTGAGCACAGCATCTACTACATACCTGAAGATTGATTAAAATAAGATTAAATAAATGAACAAATCCAAACGCTACTCATTAACTCACTCTATATGGTGACCAGCATAATGTCAGAGTGACTTTGTACTTAATAAATTCTATACCATAATGGTAATGGTGGATCAATTAGCCAACTCAAGGGAGGATAACTTTTACAATCCCTTATAAAATAGCCTCAAAATAACTAAATCAGTCTGGGTCATTTGATGCTCTTTAATGTTTTTCAATTATCTGATACTCAGCAAAGATAGAGTGCTTTGTCATTTCATGAGATCCATGCCCCTCCAATCAAGCTTCCTTATCACCATCTGCATCACCATCTTGTCATCCATTAAACCCACAACTTTGGGCAATATACAATAGCATTTTCTCCTTGACTAAGAACTGTTTCAACACCTTTTTCTTTTATCTTACATATGTCCCCTCTTCTCCAATATATCATGAACATCTTTTGCCAAGCTACTGCTACCTAAGTAATTACCACATTCTCCTTATGAAGTTCCCAATCCTTGTCTTGGTCCAACACAGTGCAAGAATAATCTCTACAGGAATCAATTTCATCACCTAACACCTTCGAAAGAATCTCCCCAACCATGGCAAAGGACCCATGGGCATGTGACAGTGTCCAGCCATAACACAGAAATTAGAAAAATCTCATTTCCATAATTTAATTTTGGGGTTTTCATCAGCACCTCACTTTGCCCACCAGGTGAAGCTCGTGCCCCTTCTCTTGTGGAGCAGCACTCTCTGAAAGGATGGATACTCTACAAAGAGGGTCTTGTACCTGAGCCTAGGATAGGAGTCAGCAAACTATGGCCCATGGGCCAAATCATGCCCACCACCTGTTTTTGTATGGCCCACGAACTAAGCATGATTTTCACATTAAGTGGTTGAAAAAAAATATTTTGTGACTTGTGAAAATGATATGAAATTCAAATTGCAGTGTCCTTAAATAAAGCTTTATTGGAACCCAGGCACACCCATTCATTTTCACATTGTCTATGGCTACTTTCGCACTGCAAAGCAGAGTTGAGTAGTTGACATAGAGACAGCATGGCCCACAAAGCCCTTTATGGACCAACTTTGCCAACCCCTGGGCTATAAGGAAGCAAGGATTAAATGAAATTACAAATGTGAAAGGGCCATTGTGGAGCTCAGGCAAACAAGGAACATTTGTTTGTGGAATCTGAAGCTATTCACTGAGTGTTTCCTTCCTGGGAGTTTATTTCTTGTGGGGTGGTGAGTGGAGTTGATAAGAGAAGTAATCAGGTCAGAAAAGACAGATGTTACCTTCCCCTTCCCTGGGGTCTCTCAATGAATTATTCTCTCTCATTTGACATCCACTCTCCTCCCAATTTAGGTAAAGATGGTGCCTTAGGTCCAATCTGTCTTCTTCATAAACCTACTCTCAAGTTGGAATGAAAACTGAGAAACTCAACTTGAAAACTCAAATCTATGTTGGAATATTTCTCTTAATTAACTCTAGTAAATATGATATGAATTTTGTCAGACTCCCTTGACTTTGTCTTTGACTTTTGGCAGATCAGAAAAAGCTCAGCAAGACTGGGGAGCATCTGTTGGATTTTACCTAGTAAATGTTTTATCTGAACTTGCTCTCCAACTTTCCCTTTGGGAAAGTTTCTTACCACAAAGTCTGCTTTTTTCTCCACTCCCAAGGGAATGTAGGTGGACTTTTTTTTTAATGAATCATATTATTTAATATCTTTCTGTGCTTTTGCTTAATCAAGGACTTTCAAACACACAAATATTAATTTCTGATGGATATTCATAGTGGGGAATCTTTTTTTTTTATTTCAGCATATCATGGAGGTACAAATGTTTAGGTTGCGTATGTTGCCTTGCCCCTCCTTCCCCTGCGGAGTCAGAGCTTCAAGCGTGTCCATCCCCCAGATGGTGCGCATTGCACCCATTATGTATGTGTAAACCCATCCCCTCCTCCCCACTTCCACCTGCCCAACACTCAATAAATGTTATTCCTATATGTGCACTTAGTGTTGAGCAGTGAAACCAATTTGTTGGTGAGTACATGTGGTGCTTATTTTTCCATTCTTGGGATACTTCACTTAGTAGAATGGGTTCCAGCTCTATCCAGGAAAATACAGGAGGGGCTATATCATCATCGTTTCTTATAGCTGAATAGTACTCCATGGTATACATATGCCACATTTTATTAATCCACTCATGTATCGATGGACACTTGGGTTGCTTCCACAATTTTGTCATTGTGAATTGTGCTGCTATAAACATTCGAGTGCGGGTGTCTTTTTTAATAGAATGTCTTCTGTTCTTTTGGGCAGGTGCCCAGTAATGGGATTGCTGGACCAAATGGTAGATTGTAGGTGGACTCTTGGTTTAAAATAACAAGAATAAATGCTGGACATCACCACTAAACACAGTTAAACACCATTTAAAAGATCATTATACATGTTTTAAATAGTATTGATATTGTTCCTTTACTTGGCTTCTCCTAGTATCCCTGGACTTATTTTCTGATAAATCTCTAGAGGTACCTTCTATCCTTGCTTGACTTGATTGTTGGAGCTAGGCTTCTAAACAAGGCTTTGGCATCTTTTCATAGTAAACAATTCTGTATTGTTTGAATTTGTGCAACAGGCATGTATTGCTTTTGTTTTAAAGAGGATTATTTTTAGAAGATCAAATATACAGAAATAAGGAGAAGAAAGGAAAACAATCTTCAAAAGGGAGACCAGAAAGACCCAGCTTGTGCATGAGATCATTCTCTGATCTTATCTGAGGAGGTTAACAGTCTGTGATGCAGGGAGCACTGGCACCCCTCAACCTGACTGTGGGACCATTGAGAAAGAGGGATTATGTCACTTCTTCCTTCTTTTCCCTTGGGTAGGAAAGGGCCTGGCACACAGTCAATACTAAATAAATAAAGAAATGTATACATGCCCTAGTGGTTATGTTCAAAGTTACATTTCAACAAAAGTTGAGATTTGTATACCTTTGTAAAAAAAATACAAGACTATTAACAAGTGCGATTGTCTGCTGAAATGAAGAAATCATTCATGAAATGTCAAGAAACAAACAAGAGGGAGCATTTGAACTAGCTGGTGGGCCAGGGAGGGAGTGGAATGAGGAAGGGTATGAATATCTCTGAAGGAGAATTATTAACTCATATCTGGAAAATAGCAGTAGGGCTTAATTGGGATGTCTTTTCATTGGAATAGTGTCCTCCATGTGACCTTTGTCTCTCTCTTCTTGACATTATAGAAAAGACAATGCAATACTCCAAAAGAGATTAAAACCTTTGGGTTCAGCAGCAGGCCGTGAAGGAGGGCATTCCCAGGAATAGTTTTAAAGCTAAAATACCTTTTTGTAATAGCCATGAGAAGCTAAAATAGTATTTCCATACCTTTGTGTTAAGATATAAGACTGAAATAGAAACTTCAGTTATCAAACTAGACAGAAGCCCCAGAGCCCCCAAACTCAAGGATTTAAAATGATTAGAAAGTGATAATATAATTAATCAGTTCTATAATAGAAATAAGACCATGATTGCCCTGAATTGAGATTGATAGTGATTAAGAAAAAGGGCATCAAATTATATCTTGGCATCTTTAAAAATTTGCTCTACAGAAAACATATGTAATATATTATTTAATGATATTATTAACTTTAGTTTTATATTTTACATGTGATGACATAAAGAGTCGTTGTTCTAATCTGGATAGCCAATGAGAATTGTGCCATTTGGATTGACTTATAGACCACCCAATGATGCCCTACCATGTAATGAGGTCCCCTAGGGAAGTCTAGAATGGCAGCATCAGCAACATCTGGGAGCTTGTTAAAAGTAGAAATTCACAGGCTACACTGAGACCTGCTTTGCCAGAGTCTCTGAGGTAGTTCCTAGGAATCTATGTTTTAATAAAGTCTCATGCATGCCAAAGTTTGAGAACATTGAAATATGAAGGCAAATGTCCACATTTCTGTACTTGGTAGTATATTTAATTATCATGATAGTGACAGTATAAAGAAAACAAATATGCAACAAATAATTTTTCAATTCTGTTCAATCTACACATGATACACACTCTCTCTATACTACAATCTGAAAAT